TTGCTGGAGCATGAATTAATAGTGTGTAAGGGAATGTGTTTATCTTTCAGGTTGCATTGTTGTTGGTGGTCTTGGTGGTCCCCGTCCTCCACATTGTCCGTGCTGGTATTGATGAAAACATTGCCTTTCTGTTACTTGGGTTTGGGATTGTTCTGTCAGACGACAGGATGGAGGTCGTCCAAATTGTAACATTTTATACTTGGTTACTTGAAGGTATGTGGTGCTGCTTTTTTTTCTTTCTGGGAGTGTATTGTTATAAAAATACGCGACTGATTTCTTTTTCTTTTCCACCATGCTGTTTTTCAGTGTGCTACCTCTGTGCAATGACCCTCTCTTGTCTGGTCAGTCTGGTCATGCTCATGAGGTCCATGATACTTCACAGGTACGTGCACTAAAACCTTGGGGTTCATCCATTGCCTATCAACCCGGTCAGAGGCAGGACCATAGTTTGAGCTGCTTGGTAAATGAACCAACATTCATATTTTAGAGCAGTCGGTTAATTCACTTGCCACTTGGGGGCAGTTCAACAAACCCACTAATGGTAAAATGGATATTCAATTTATAAAGTTGAAATTAAGCTTTTATCTGTCAACCCTTTAAACTATAAAATGAGGTTTGTATATTACAAACAAAAACAAAACGCAACAAAACGCAACAAAACTACAAATAATGTTTTGAATAGAAAAATATGGCTTGGTGTAAAATAAGTGCATGTATTATGTTATAAAGTTAGATATGTAAAAAAAAGGCAGAATATAGACAGCGGTTTCATGGGTATTTAAAATAGCCCTGTATTTGTTTGACCCATACATCGATACATCCATCCATACCCCAAACATTACAATTGAGATTAGATTCTCATGCCTTCTGGTCTGGACCTAATTTATCACTTGCTTTCCATTTTTCAGGTCAAATCTGAAAGGATTGTATAAGGGAGACGTTTACAGCATTTATAACAGCCAGAAGACCATCCGTCCTTCTAAACCTGGCATTGTCTGCTGGATGGGTTTGACAGGATACCAGGCTGCGATCGTCTGCCTCGGTAAAGCTCAAAAACACATTAACATCTTCACTGATTTTCACCTTATTGAAGGACAATGCTGGATGCCGTGCTTCCTCAAACACTCACTAGAGCACCAAATCTGGATTCATCCATATTTACTCAACATATATGTAATATGATTTAAAAACATGGTTATAAATTGGATGATTTGCAAAGACCGTCTTTGGTCTTTAATGCTTTGAAAATTAATTTTGGATACTTTTCTTATAATGGCCTGTTTCTGTGTTTTATTGACAGGTATGGTGATTCAGACTGTAGTGTTTTTCATCTGCTTCTTGTTCCTGGTGTTTTTGATCATTATCCCTGTTTTTCACGGTCGTAATATCATCGCTTTCGAAATCGCTGGAAAGTCATGGTGAGTCGGCAACGTTTCATTTAGCGCTATTTGAATGTTATCATTAATGATCAAAACACTTATTACCTTTAACTTCTATATTTTCATTTGTTCTGTCTCAGGCCGGGTTGGGTCACACTGATCTTGGTTACAGTGCTTCAACATGTGACTGCGAAGTTTGCGTTCATCAAAAAAGATGCTGGTACGAGAGACTTGAACAACAGGTATGTGAAGCTTCTTGATGAAGTATGTTGATTAGGCAATTGACAGGTAACTTTGGTATTTTTGGGCTACCACTGTCAATGTTGATTCAATAAAGTGCCACTGAAAGGATCAGATTGATAAAAATAAGTGTTTGAGATTATCATGGCTAGGACCATTACTGTACCTTTCACTAGAACCAGTCTGATTGTTAGAGTTTCTAATCAAAGCCTCTAGGAAGTGCGCTGGACATGTAAGTAGTGTTTTCCGTGTCAGTCTGGGACTTTATTGGGCCCTACCCTAATTCAAACTGAAAGTTTTAAAATGTGCTAAAAGCCAAACCTATTTTCCCTCTCCATTCATTTGACTGAGCCAAGTCTGGCTGTGACGGAGTGGATATGTGGCGAGGCTTAAGAAAAACGCAAGAACGCATGCTCTACGGGCCCAATAATCTAGATGATCCGGGGATTTTGGTTCTCTTGAGTCATGCCATTTTGGCTTTATGCACCACTGAGCAACTTTCAAAGGAATGAATGGGAACACAACTCCAACACTTTATCCAGTTCTCTTCATACATCCATGTTCTAACCAAGTCTAATTCAAGGATAAGTCTTATACTGTTATACTGGAATCTTGCGTCGCATCCACATTGTTGAAATAGTGTTCCCCTTTACCTGTATAAAGAAAATAAAGGCAACCATCTTTATGATTTCTGAATTTGCTTGGGGGTATTTGCAGAGAGAGTTTGTTCCTCTTGACTTATCTGCTGTTCCTGATCAACATCATGATGGGACTGGTAGCTGCAATTTGGAGAATGGTGATAACAGCTTTGTACAACATCATCCATCTTGGTCGTATTGACATCAGTCTTCTTCACCGAACTGCAGAGTCCTACGACCCAGGTATCATCTTTGATTGTTTTTTATCAGTTTGGGAGATTTGAAAATGTAAAATTTTTAAGCCACATTCTGTAAACTTTGATGCATTCCAGCCTACCGATACTACGCCCACTTCCTGAAGGTGGAGGTCAGCCAGTCACACCCGGTGATGAAGGCTTTCTGTGGCCTGCTGGTGGACATGATGGTGGAGGGAGGCAGAGCTGGACAGAAAATAAGAGACGCAGAGGAAGGTAGAGACCTTGAAAAAACACATACATATATAATACATATCCTCTCCACCAACATTCTCCCCTTTGTTACTTTAAGTCTTCAATTCATCTTTTCATACTCAGGCATGTAATCTATACTCCTGAAAAAGGACAAAGATCCGCTAAACCTGTGTTCTAGATTTAGATGCAGAATTGCTAGCCAAGATTTTAGATATACACCTAGACAGGGATTAGGGTTAGGTTCAGTGCTTCAACCCATAACATTTTGGGATCAAAGAAGGTTTTATAAAAATAGACATTGTCATTCTTCAACCTTCATATCATGTTATCCCAGCATTCCTGTATAAAATCCTCAAGTACTTATATTCGTTGACGAATCGAAAGCTTTCGACCGGGTTGAGTAGGACTTTTACTTTCTGACCGTGTCAAGATTTTGGATTAGACCCAAATGTCATATTTTAGATGAAATTACTTTATGCATCAATGTGATTATGTTCCTTTAGGTACCACCAGACAAGGATGTCTTCTCTGTCCACTCCTTTTCAAAGTGTTGTCATGCTGTCATTACAATTTCTTCCTTTCTTTAGTAGGGAGAAGGAACATAAAGTGTCATTATATGCTGATGATTTAGTATTGTACATTTCCAACCTTTCAGGTTTAATTCCCGATATTAGGTCTGTTTAAGAAAGTTGAATCTCCCATGGTTTCCCAGGCGCCTCCTAAAACTGTTTTTTGAACATGAAAAACAATATGATAAGATTTGTAAGATTTTCAAAACATACAAACAGCTGTACAGAAACATGCATTATATTCACTCGTTCCATAGTCCGGTGTCTCGTTCTGCCCTGACAGCCTGCTCCTCCATGCTTTCAGGGATTCAGGTGAACACGCCAAACAAGGCTACAAGCCGTCGGAGGATTCAATGTCGCTGGCAACTGGTGTACACGCTGGTCAACAACCCATCCCTGCTGGGCTCCAGGAAGCACTTCCAGACACTGCAGACCTCCGAAAGCACCCTGAACGGGACCCCCAACCGCAGCTCCAGTAAAGGCAGCAGGAAAGAGGCCGCTACGCCTGCCGCCGAGCCAGTCCAGTCCACTGAGGCACCAACAAACCAAGATAAAACTGAATGAAGTACCTTTATCTGCTTAGTGTGGTCCGCAGTATACTGCAGGCAACATTTAATTTGGAAAGTATGCCGCTCAATAAAGATATATGTCATGAAGGGCCCCAAATAAAATAGTTTGGCGTGTAAATAGAGAAATTGAGACTAACAAGGTCACCAATTCCCAAAAACATTGAAAATAATGTGAATGACAAAATGACTATACTGTATTGTGATCTGCTTGTACAGTACTGTTGAGGACTTTAAGTAATGAATTATTGACATGCACAATGTTCAGGGCTGATACTAGGCAGGGAGTAAATGAGTACACTTTGGCTCAGGTTATGTCGTCATGTACTGGTTCTAAAAGTGTACTCAGTGCATACTTAATATTAATTCAGCTTATAAATCCCCATGTAAATGTACCCCTTGCGGGAAATATAAAGGATTTATGATTCTGATTCTGAATGCTACACACTCGCCCTTTAAAGCAAAGTAAATAAAGTAATTTACTAAGTAATAAACTGCAAACATGTCATTTGAGAACGATACAATTCTAATTGAACCTTTGCGTCATATGCTACTTAATGACTGTTCAATGTAATATCTTATTATTATTTGTTAGAAGTTTGTCTGCGAAACAATTTCTACTACATAAGCATCATTATAATGGGATGAAAAATTACAGGTTTTGAGGTTAAACACATTGCATTTTTCAAATAGACTGATTATACTTTTCTGTTACATTTACTACATTCTATTTTAATGCATACTGTAAATGCAAATGGTCTTTAAACTCCTTGGGCTGTGCCATAAAGTACAGTGTTTTTGTTGAATGTGTGACTTCATATTTATTCCATTTTAAAGTAAAAATGATGTGTACATTCATCGACATGTATTGCTTTATTATTTCATCGTTTGAAGGTTTTTTTTTTGTTGTCGTCAGTAATCAGTGTAATAAATGATATATTTACTAGTGGTTTAGCGTTTACCCAGCCCTCTTGTTGTCATCCCACTATTTTTCAATTAATTGGTTTATTACTTGACTTATTTACAATGTATTATCAAATCCAAAAAGACAAATGGATTGATTGAACTTCATTCAAAGCATATATCATACAATGATTATTTTAAATCTTTTTTTTTTAAGGTTCTGAGGGAAAAAGAGAGACTGAGAATTGAGCAACCATTCAGTATTCCTTTGTCAAAACTTTATTGAGGCACAGTTAGTGGAGAGTTAGCGAGGATATTTCAACACTTTGGTAAATCCTACTACTACCTTTATTACAGGGGTATAAAACAAATAAAGACAAATACAGAAGTTACTCTTTATGTCAAGAATATTTACCCAAGACGCAGCATACAGGACAACAGACAGCATGCAGGTCTCCTAACACAATACTCTTGGAAATACAACAGGATGGACACATGACCCAGGTACAACAAGGCAATAACTTCACAGAGGCGCTCATAAGTGCCCGTACTGTTACACACTGCAGTACATGTGGTGGATAATACTGAGCTGTCCACATTTACCAGCAACATAGAGAGCTTTTTTCAAACACCAAGTTTTATTCAACATGAAAACCGTTCTTTCTTCATAGAAATTGCTCACAGTACAACTGAAAAGCTCATAGCTCTGGGACACATTGTGTTTCTCTTTGAAACAACACAGTTTTTCTAAACGTTTTAAACTCTCATGAGATGACTAAAGCTGGTGAAGGGAGTTATTTTTGGCATTATTGGACAAATAATTCATAACAAGCTTTTAGCACGTTTAAATCCATGTTGTACCTCAACAAAAACATATACTCGTTAATAGTTTAATATGATGCTAACCATTGCCGTTAATGGCTGTATCGAAGGAGTAGATCACAGAAGGCTAAACTATAAGTACATTTTCTCCAGATCTCTGAAACTCTTCTCCTTTATCGTCACTCTCTTTGTGATCAGTTTGTGTTTCATTTTGGTTTGTTTTGCAGTGCAGGCAATTGTTGCCAATACTGGCATAGCAACTTTTGCCCTTCTTTCTGGCCTTTCCCGAAGCTATGTGAACGGATAGCTATTTGAAATGACCTTTGATTAGCCCAAGTCTTTTGTCATGGGCTAGATAAAGCCTGAACACAGGACAATGAGTTTTCCTTGTTGGCCTATCTGAGTTACATTATGCTGAAAGCTTATGATAGAATATGTATCCAATGAAGCCAAAATAAATCATCTCCAAACTACTGCACAGAGTATTGGTATATTTTAGTTACAGTTAGCACATTTACTACTGCCTGAATCTAGTTGATTTCAGTTTGCAATGCGTTATATTTGTGACACAAGCTTTGTTACATTTTTACACTCTGAAGAAAGTCCTCATCCTGGTGCCATGTTGGCAGCAATCAGAGGTTTTTCGTTTATAATGATACATTTGTAAGATTGTTTTCAGGCCAAAGAAAAACTTTTCAGGGTTTTTGTCTGAAAAGAACATTTTGGAAATTCATTTAAAACAAATAAACAATAAAGCCTTTATGTTCACTTCTACAAATGTTTATTATTACATGACTGTTTAAAACTCTATTCTGATTGGTCAATTGTGGCATTTTACAGTATGTTATTTCTTAATTGCAGGCCGCTGCTATAAATAACAGATAGTCATGGACGCAGTTCTGATCTCGTAGACTAGAATAGACTATTTATTTAAGAAAATCAATAAACATTTTAAACTCTATAAAATCATTTAAAATAACTAAATTGCGTAAAGAGAGTGGTTTCTTAAGTGTGGAGCAATGTATTCAGCAGGATAATGTACAGTGAGATGGTAATTATTGCAAAAATGAATAAATAATGTGTTATTCCATACTTGGAGCTTGGAGGTTATATTTTCCAGTTGTTCTATTATCAAGTGGAAATCCAAACAGATTATACAGATATTTGGTATAGGTGGACTAAAAGATAGTTGTACTAAAAGATTCAGGTTTTCTTACTATTGTAATTCCTTAAACACACAACATATCTTGTTCATGCCTCCGATGATTGTCTATCACTATTTGTATTTTGGCAAAGATCTGGATCCAGACACACTTTATGGAAAATGAAATAGGTTGCCTATTTTGAAAGAATAGGACAACAAGACGTGATATTTCCAGCTACAAAAAATATGGGCCAGTATGTAGTTCAGCTTTTACTCAAATGTTTGTCTGGAAAACATCCCCGGACAAGATAAAGTCAAATAAGATAATCCTTTATTAGATAGAGCCTTGAATCTGGAAGCCTCTGTAGTGACTAATTGATGCAGCTCTGCAAGTAAAACAAGTCTTTTCAGACAATATGTCTTTGCTGCCTTTGCAAGGCTAAAGCTAACTAAAACCTTTGGCACAAACTAATAATAAAAATTCTTTTTACCCAAAGGCAAAATAATTCAATAACATAATAACAATTACTGGTTTGGATAAGCGTAGTTGCTTGTAATATTTACTGCTTCAGCTCCCAAAGGTAACCTATCACTAAACTCAGACCCGACCTCACAGTTGTCTAAGTTCCCCCTGCACTGAGACAGAGAAAAGGACTCAGTCATCACACTTTCTTCTGTATCCGCCTCTTTGTCCCCGTCTCCGCTCTCTGTCTCCCCCTCCTCCTCGTCCAGCTGGCTTCCATTAATCTTCCTCCGGGACTCGGTGTGAGGTGCCCTGAAGTTAGGGGCGAGGTTCCTCTCCATGTGGTACTGATCTTTGGCCTTCAGGATCAGCTTGTAGGTCTTGCTGCGGTATTTGTACACCAGGTGGAAGCACGTTGCACCGAGTAGAGGCACGGTGGACACGGTCAGGAGGCAGATGCTGACGGAGATGATGATGAGCAGGTTAGGCACCCTCCTCCTGGTGCTGAACAGAACCTGGACCTCACAGTCCTCCCCTCTGTACGTCAGACACAGGGAGTAGTTGGTGTCGGGACGTAAACCACTGAACATATATGTGTTGACGCCATCTTTGATTCTTGACCACTGCACGGCCGAATGTCTGAGATCAGCAGCAACGCACAGATACAAGCCATTTGAGTTTTTACCGACAGCAGAAAGGCCGTGATGCTTTTCACTGTCATTGTGGAAGCTCTCATTAGACGTTGCGGCAGTTTTTGGGGCTTGGTTGATGCCACTGTCTCTCGGTATGAGAAGAGGATTGAGTCGCACTGTTGCCTCTGTTTCTGACACTCCTAATGCAATGACTCCAAAGTCAAATGTGTACTGCTTGATATCTTCCACGCTCTCATTAAAGACATGACTAGAAATGTATCTCGTGTTAGCAGTCAAGCCACATTTACTAGCATGTGATGGGGATGTTGTTGACTCCTCAGAAGACTTGATCTCCACAGTGGGCGGGAAAGTAGGTACTACTTTAATGAAGTCTTTTCTCTTGATATCAAAGTGACGCACAGAATCTAAAAACAATGGTTTGCCTGTTGTTTGGCGTATAGATGGGTGCGTTTTAGTAAAAACAGGCGTTGTGGAAATTGGTTTTCTTGGTGTTGGTTTAGGTAAAGCCACCACGTCCACTGACACCGAAACCTCGCTTCTTCCAAACTCATTTGTGGCCGAGCAGCTGTAGTTGCCACCATCTTCTTTCCGGATTTGTGAAATGATAAGAGTGCCATTGTTAAAGACTTTGAAAGGATTATAGGACAGCATGGAGTCCTCTTTCGATTCTGCTGAGTCATCCTCAGTGAAGGACAACACCAGCTCTTGCCTCTGGCTTTTGCTTTGGATATTCCACATGACCAGAGGTTTTGGATTTCCTACGAATTCACAAGTCAAGACCAACACACCGCCCTCGTGGAAAGTCTTGTTGTGAACATTTGGCTTGATTTGTATTGTCACATTCGGGCTTGTGCACTTTGACTCAGGCAACTTTCCAATCACTTCTCCTCTAAGTTTGGGTGGAGTAGCACAAGTGATTAAATTCTGCTCTGGGACCGTGATCATGGTCTTTGAAATCCAGTCTCTGAGCCAGTCGAGGGAGCAGGTGCATGCAAAAGGATTTTTATAAACCTGCAAGTGGGACAAAGACACCAAACCGTCAAACGTCCCATCAATTATCGTAATGAAATTGTTATTGTTGAGTCGGAGTGACCTCAGGTCTTTGAGGTTGTAGAAGGCGTCCCTCGGCAGGTGGACCATCTCGTTGTGGTTCATCTTCAGCAGCTGCAGGCCTGTGAGGTTCTGCAGATCCTCCCAAGGGAAGTCTACGATTCTATTGTGGCCGATGTCAAAGTTACGCAGATGAACCAAAGGCGTGAGAGACCCTTCTTCGATTGTGACGATCTCATTGTGGGCCATCCACAGCGACGTCACGCGAGTGACATTGTCAAAGCTCCCCAACGGTATCACACTGATCTTGTTAGCGGACAGACTCACAGTCGTCACATTAGCAGGCAAACCGTCCGGTACCTCAGCTAAGTCTTTGTAGGAGCATTCAGCAAAGTGGCGGCCATATTTATCTGCGCAGGAACAGAGCGCAGGGCATCCGAGTCCAGTGGGAAAGACTGTGGCCATCCACAAAGTGAAGAGGATACCTGCGGCAGCCATTTTCTGTAAAAGAAAAGCGTCACAGACCATGTTTCGATCATTGGATGAATGATTTAGCATATATAATGCAGCATGATTAAAGATAATATGTTTAGGAACTTAAAAGAAACAGGTTTTGGCATTAAGAAATTAAGCACAGAAACAAAGACTAGCTCTACTTCAGCCCTTGGAAATGACAGAGCAGAAAATGGAGCCTGACAGGTTTTCATTTTCAGTGGCAGATTCCTACATCATTTAGAGAATCTCCAATTTAGCTCTTAAACAGACTGAAAGCTGTGTAAATGATAATAACTATACAAAACAGCTGATTCACAGTGATGGAGCCTCATTCAAGATAGTGAACAAAATAAAGGGAACACAAGACGTTTTAAAAGCTCACCCGCTAACAAGGTCATGGTCTACTTTTTAGGATTATTTTACTGGCAAACTGAATAGAAATAAAGACAAATTAAAGGAACATCTTCATGTTTACAGTGTTTCTCTCTTCTGGTCAGGTCTAGTCATGAAGAACATAATGTTGCTCTTTCATTTGAAGGGGTGTTGTACCATTTAGTTCTGATATAATGAAAAAGCTTTTAAGATGCGTCATTTTCATAGGCTGAAAACTTGCTCTAACTGGAATTGTGAGCTCACTGATTTTGATTTCTTAATGAAGATGAATTCTTATTTTCAGTGCCGCCTTAGCTCCTTAGTGGTAAAAACAAAAAATGCAAATAAGACAAGACTTTACTGTAGGTTGTTTTCTTCACCACTGCCTCTGATATTGATGCCTCCACCATTTACATAAACTCTTACCTACCTGTGCATTATCCAGAGTAACAAGAAAGAGATTGACTGTAAACTATTTTTTAATGATTCAATTATGCAAGATAAATCTCTGTCTCTGATATCCAAATACCTGGATACAAATAAAAACCCCTATCTGGATGGCCAGAGATAAGAATCAACAGTTTTTGTCAGATACATATTTTGTAAACTGACCTGTTTAGTGGCGGACAGAGACAGAAGAGCTAGTTTTGTCAATATAATGAGTGCAGAAACCCTACGGATGCACAAATCTGGAGCACCTCAAGAGCTCACATGATTAGCTCTGTGCCTGTTTGATGACTTGGAGTTGCTAGACATTTCAAGATCCTTATTATTCTTATCAGTTTGCATCTATCCACCTTACAGTATCATCCTGATTTTCCATATTGTACCTTTCCTATTTTCGTCTTTCCTTACAGAGAGTCAGGATAGAAAGTGTTTTCAAATGTTCTGAAGCCCTTTGAAATGAATTTGGGCCACAAAAAATAGCCTGACACATCTTTAAAAGCTCATCCCTCTCATGATAATATGACAGATTATGTATTTAATTGGTATTCTCTCCCTGGTGACAAAACAGCTACTGTAAATTAACATGTATGTAAGTCTGACAGAGGAAAACACCCACCTCATACCTTGTGGTTTCTAGGAAAACAGAAAAAAGCAATCAAACCGCTCAACCCAAAACAGATTGAGATGTTGGCTCTGAATCTTAAAACAACCTCTCGTCGATAAACTAATATAACTGCCTCTAATTCACAGAGGGAGCATTCAAGCTGTATGCTGTGTTGCCAGTTCTGCATCTGGTTTCTCCCTACGCAGCAGCCTCCGGTGTTCTGTCCTTGGTGCTGAAAGCCAGCCGCATGTCTGCTCTGTTTGTTTACAGCTGTCTACTGCGTGGCATGCAAACCTTTACCATTATCTGCTTTACTCTATCTGTAAAATAACACACCATAACTGTCAATGTAATCTGACGCCGCAGGATCGAAAGTTCATCCCCGATAAAGACCTGACGTGAATAATTGATGCGGGGAGAATAGAGGATGCAATAGGAGCATACAACTGAGTGACATGCTTACCTGCGTTAGTGTTTTTGTTTATCTCTGCAGAAAAATCCGAACACGTCAGCCGGTGTGTGCAGTCAGAGCAGGATACATGCTGGATTCAAGTGTGAATGTGAAGCGGAGTCCATCTGCCAGTCTGCGTCTACATGGTGGAAACGTGTGGTATCATCTGCCTGTGCATCTGTCATTCTGAGTTATCCCCCCCGTCTCCTCCCCTCCTCATAGCTCTGGACAGAACAGCATCGACGCTTCCAAAAATATTTTAAAGGGGAAACGACTTTAAACAGGGTTGCCAACTTTGGGTACCTGGCCGGAGTGAGATTTTGATATCAAGGGTTTAATATGCGTACTAAATGACTGCTATCGTGTCAGTAGCGGGACCTTAGCATATATATAGGATATATATACAATATATACAAGGGCACAAAGTTTCATTCACTAATGAAAGTCAATCACATGTTTGTTTCCACTGTTTTATTGTGTGCATAGGCCTGTCGCGATAAGCAATTAATTGACATATCGTACGATAAATAAAAATGAACTCGATAACTTTTCTGACCTCGATAAATTGCCATTTACATGAGGATGTGACTAGCAGTTTGAAAGTATGTACTTGAATTATTATTATATATTATCATTATGTCAGTGGTCTAAAATGGTCATACAACGGTGCCGACAATATTATCGTTTATCGCAATAATTTCCGGGAAAATGTATCCAACAAAATTAATTATCGTGAGAGGCCTATACATGAAACACACAGACACAAACAAATCTACAGACTTACTCCAAACTGCCAAATATATTAATTAACACACTCACACTCTCACTCTCATATACTCTTTGACTCTATTTTGGCCTAGTAGAACAATAAGCAGCAGACTTTTACTTTTTATCATTTCTACTGGATCTTAGATCTGCGCATGCGCAATACGGGTCGGGGATTGACCAACCGGCTCCCACTGCTCTGCTGTCTGTTAACGTTGTTAAGAGTGGTGGGGGGCGGGGAGGGAGCGGTTTGACAGCTTGAGCAGCTGTCAACTCAACATTGTAAATAACCAACCAAAGACGATCGGCGGTTCATCTTGTTTTTGGCGTGAGAATAGTTTGGGCAGCGTGAGAGCGTGAGATTGAGAGTGAAAGCGTGTGTCACACGCCAGATGCGTGAGAGTTGGCAACCCTGCTTTAAATACGACCGTCACCGTCTGCATTAACAGGAGGGGAGGACTGATGTGATGTCTGGCTGTCACTATAAACAGGAACATATGCTACTAAATATACTAATTCAAAGTTTGTTTTACAAGTTTATACAAAGGGAAGTTTTGAGGTTGTGGATGTAAGGAAGTCCAATTAGTCATCTCTGCTGCAGGCTAAAAGCTACACTAGCCTAGGACTGCATTATGGGTAATGTATGCGCCATGTTTGAAAAAAAACAACATTTCTTTGCATTGTTTTTTTAAATTGAACGCATGTTAAAGGGGACCTATCATGCAAAATGCACTTTTGTACGTCTTTTATACCTGAATAAGTGTCCCCGGTGTTCCAGGGAACTCACCAAGTGTCAGAAAACACAACCCTCTCTATTTTCCTCCATACCCAAATCTCTAAAAAAGGGGCTGCAACGGATCTGATAAAAACTGATCCAGATTTGAACACTGTCCTGACGTCAGGACAGTGGCGCTACGGCTATTGGGCCAACTCCACCAATCAGGAGGAGACAGCCACGGCCATTGCCGTTCGAAAGCGCTGGAGACGCTGTAGTACATATGCCAGGCCAGTAGATGGTGCTGTTCTCACAGAATCAGCCCTTGCAAAAACAGAGCTAGAAATTGTCAAATTGAGCAAAATGAGGCATGGCTGAAATGCATGATCTGTTTGGTATTTTGAAAAAAAAAAAGTATAAATATGCCTTATATACAGTAGGTATGGTCCTACACTATATTATTCAAATATAGCATGATAGGTCCACTTTAAATTTAGCCTATTTTAGGGTAGTCTACTATTTTAAGGAAAGCCAAACATAATAGCAGGCATTTTTAAGGTGCACTAATCCATGTGTTATTGTTAAATGGTTAGTACTGTAATTAATGTAGGTATTGCACTTCTAATAGTGACAGATTAAACAAAATTATGGTTAAAAAAATCCAGCAGCAGATATTCCTGCTTTGAGTCTCTATTTATAGGTCCTGCCAGGCAGTCTCTCAGCCTGTTAATCTTTCTCTGTGTAATCAAGCTTTGTGAAAACAAAGCTTGATTATAATAAGATTTACTTCAGGGCTGTTTTCATTGTAATAGGCACACCTGATCATGTTATTGTGTCCTCATCATATCATAGTGACAAAAGATAATACAGTTGTATCAAAGTGTGAGCTCAGCAGGGCAACCACACCAGAGGACAAACACAGGAACGTGTGTGCAGATGCAGTACTGATAAGAAATGAGAATCCTCAGAAGAGATCTTTATTCATTCAGTTCAGATTTAATCTCATCTTCATCACCCTTTCTGAATATCTTTGCTTCTTTACAACATGCAGGACTGTGTTTTTTCGACTCATCTGTCCTACTCCTTTAGGGGAGAGTGGGGTAAATTGAGCCATTTTTTAGTTATGCTGTCCTCTAAGCAAGGAGAAATGACACATAGTAAAAATGAAAGCACACACCTATAATTCAGGATGTCTCCTATCAATGGCAATGATAATAATTAATATTTGATCAAGGGCAGTGAAAATATTACTTCTAAAAAAAAAGTGGTCTTGTGGCTCAACTTGCCCCGGGTTAGGGGTAAGTTGATCCAGGTCAGGGGGTACATTGAACCACTGTTCAAACCTGGGCATACCTGTTCAAACCTGGGCATACCTACAACAAATCTTAAAGGTAACTTTAAACAATAAATAACAAACCAAATACAAGTTTAGTTTTTCAAATATTTTTAATATAAATTTCGATTGAATTGATTGATTTTCTTTTTAACATGTTAAAAGGAAAAGTAATCATACAAATGGTGATACAATTTCATACATCTTACCAATCAAACACAGGGTAAATTCAACTTTAAATGTAACTTCAACTTGGCCTACTTTCATTCATTTCTCCATTGAAAAACTGGTTCAACTTACCCCAAGGCCCATGGTTCACTTTACCCCATAGCCACCATTTTAGAAAAAATAGCCTAGCATTAAAATTCAGAGTCATCTTTAGCTTAATGACTCACATGGTTTAATACGCTGCCAACACATCAACATATACAATATATGTTTAAATCTGGATCATTTTTTTTTGACATGACAGCCGATATAGCTGACATCTAGAAAATGTACTTTGACAAGCAAAACATTTTTTTTTGTAAAAATGTTTACTTACCAGAACACAATGAGCATCTCTCTTTCACAGACAATGATACATGGGAGGAGCTTGCATAATTTCTGGTCACGTGATTACAACTATAAGGCGTTGCCTGGTTACAGGGGGTGGTTCAACTTACCCACTGGCTCAATTTACCCCCTTCTCCCTACTAATGTTATGTTAAAAAGCTCTGTAATACACTAGGACAAACAGCAAGCTTATAAGTGTTGAGAATTTATTTTTAAAAGAACAACAATTTGATTTGTCGTTTGAGTATTTCAATGAACGTGTTAATTTAGAACAGCATGCCCCCGAAATATTCAAAATATGAGATATGAGTTTTCATTAAAGCTCTGTTCACTATGTGTAACTGATTATTTTGAGCAAGGAAACGGCTTCACTTGCAGTCAGTTTGCTGCTGTTGGGGAAATATTTTCCTAGGCCCATAACATTCGACCAAGTTTATCAGTTTGTACTGCCCTCGCTGAGCACAGCTGCCCTCTCAGTGTTTTGTCTCCCTGTTCCTGCCTGTTGGCGTCAGCTGATAGAGGTGTTATGGTTTTATCTTGTTATATCTCTCACAGGCTCCGCCCTCTACTGGACTCTATGGGTACTACCTTATCAAGCAAACATTCACCTACTGAGACTTCTATAGATGTAGCCGCCCCCGGGGCGGGCTTACATGAATGCGCGCGCATCTCACCGTATAAAAGGAGGCCTCGCCTCCTGACTGTCATCCCTTTCTCTTCAGTGAGCTGAAGTGAAACACTGAGCAAAGACGTGAAAGAGAAAAGAGATAAAAACAAGCATGGAACCACTCCTTGAGCACCGGACCTGCCCGACATGCCCTGGCCTGTAACGCCTGCCGCATGATCCCTCGGCTAAGCCGCCGACATCGTGGCGAGCATTTCCGGGTGAAGTTCGGCCCGCAGGTGGAGGTGGAGGATCAGGACCTCGAGGTGGTGGAGATGGATGAAAAGGATGACGAGGTGCCATTTGAGTTCACCCTCCCGAGGGGCCGGGTGGCCGCGTTCACGGAGGAGGAAGACGACGAGGACGCCTCGTTGTCTGGTACCTTCGGGTCCGGCGGCCAGGAGGGTCCAGCACACAGGTCTGCGCGTCTGGACTTCCCGGCAGTGATGACCCTGGCGGCGGAGCGTGTGGGCTTACCGCTCCCCCCACCGCTGCCACCGAGGCCTGTAAGCCGCTTCGGCAGGGGTTTTACGGCCCGGTGCTTCCGGCGCAGCCGGCCTTCGTCTCGCCCCCATTGCCAGATATCTGGCAGTGTGTGGAGGCGACGTGGCGGCGGCCATTGAAGACGAAGGCCCCAATAGCAGCCATGGCGGGTATCATCAGGGAGCAGGGCCGCTCGGACACGGCGTGTCCCGGTGTGCCCCCCCTCGATGAGAGCCTGGCGGCCCATCTGCTTCCGCAGGCAGCTGGTTGGGCGGAGGGAAAGAAACCTCTGCCCCCGCTGCCGCGGGACCGAGACACCCTGGAGTATTTGGACAAAATATTCAGGCTCGGAGCACAGATGGCGGCTGCGGCTAATAATCTCGGCGTGTTGGGTGTCTCCTTGATTACCTCTCAGGCAAACGCCCCCGCCCTCCCGCCTCAGGACGGGAGCGATTATCCGGACCGCTGCATTGGTCAGATGAATAATCTGATCCATGGAGTGGCCGCCGCAGCGGGGCGGGTGATGTCCTTGGCCACAGTGGCGTCGCGTCACATGTGGCTAGGACTCACCACCCTATCCAAGAAGGACCGAGAGGATCTCCTTGGAGCCCCCGTGTCCACGGAGGGGCTCTTCGGGTCGATATCCTCGGTCACCCAGTGCTTCAGTCGCCTAGA